CCAAATTTACGAAAGAAGAAAAGAAGAGATGTCTGAAAAATCTCTTGTCTAAGATTCTAATTGGGGAGACCGACTCTGATAGGCAAGAAAATAGAAAGCTATGGATTAAAGGCCTAACCACATTAGACTCATTTAATAGTATCTTAAATCTTCGAATTTCATCAAAAACGACATCCTATATTATGGAACTTGCCACACATATAATTTGGAACAGCTTTTATAATTTTATTTGGAAAGACAGATATATCAAAATTGTCGATTGGGAAAAGAATCATAATATAAAGAAGAAGGATAAAAGAATTAAGAAGATCAAAGAAGTACGGCCAAAGAAGAATACATAAAGAAAAATCTAAAAGAGAAGGAGTTGAAATATTTGTAAAGGATAAGGAGAAGTACAATGTATGGTATAATGTGGTAGGGAATTGAATACAAAAGGATGTAAACCCTGTTTGGACAAGCTCTTAAAAGAGTCTATTTTTAGCTTATCTGTAAGCCAGTATGATAGGTTGCACCTAGGTAATCATTAGATAACCAGGCGGAGTTGGGCTTTTATTTAGTCTTAGAAATTATGTATATAGTTTATATGTACTACAAACTAAGAGTTCGAGTTACAACAAGACCTGTTAAAGAATAAAAAAAAAAAAAAAAAAAAAATCTTTATATTTTAATTAGTAATTCACAAGTCAATTAAAGAGTAATTATAGTAAAATGTGATGTGGATTACTTATAGAAATTGGGGTTTTGTAAATATAGCATATATATATTTAAAACTAAGTTAATCACCTTTTTAGTTTAAAAGACTTTTGTAGAGCTTGTTAAGACACATTTAAAAGTAGTTAAATTATCTAAATTAGCTTAGTAAATGCTGAATTATCTTTAAAAAATACTTTTTTAACTATGTAAACTTTTTTAAACCAATATTATTCTTTTACAAAAAGGCTTATATAGTTAAAAAAAAATTTTTTTTTAAAGATATCTTAGTATCTACTAGGCTAATTTAGATAATTTAACTATTATTAGATATATCTTAATAAGCTTTACAAAAGTTTTTTAAACCAGAAAAGTAATTAACTTAGTATAATATAAAAAAATGTTTTAAATATATACATGCTATATTTACAAAACTTAAATTTCTATAAATGATTTGTGTCATATTTTACTATAATTACTTTTTAGTTAATTAGTAAACTACTAATTAAGATGTTTATAAACAACTTTATTTAATAATAAATATATTTATCTAAATTTAAATAATCTTTGTTATTATAAATTAACTCTAAGTTTGTTAAATTAAAACATTTAAAACATTTTTATTAATTATAAACATACTTACTATTATTATTTGTGTTTAAATTTTTATAACTTCTTTTTTTTTTTAAAAAAAAAAAATCCAGCAGTCATGCTATAACTTTATTAGACTTTGTACAACTTATCTAGAATATGTAAAATTTTGCAACTAGGACTTACGGATAGAATTTATAACAGATAAGTGATAAACTCTAAACAAGTCAGCAGATAGCATATGAGAACTATCTCTAAATGACAAGTACCTTATCTAATATTCCATCTAGTGCCATCTAAATTACAAGTTACAACTAATCCAGTTACCAACTTGGTACCTATATTTGACCTGCTATAGCAAGATTTCTTTCCTTCTGGACCCCTCCTGCAATTGGATATGATCTGGCTCTCAACAGTGGACCTTGCCACCCATCATAACTACCTTTTCTTCTTTCAGACTTCTTTTATCTAAGCCTGACAAAATAATTAAACCCTTTATTCATACATAAAAGTGAAAAAATAAAGCTATGTTTACGAAAAACCTAAACATTTTAGAAAAAAAACACCTCACGGTGATAAAAAAAAACCATCAAAACAAATTTTAAAATAATCTAACATAAATGAACAAAGATGAAAAAAGTGAAAAAAGAAAAGAGAGCCATGACACACTATTATAGCCTGTGCCAGGCATAAGGATAAAAATTATATACTAATTGCAACTAAAAGTATATCTTAATTAAAAGCCTTTGACTTTATCGGTTTAACTCATTCTATACACCGACTCGACTCAGAAATCTTCTAAATAGGAGTATCGATCTCTTTCCTGTACTGTAGCACTGTATTGGTTAACACAACAAACATGTGATTGCATTTCACTAAGTCCATCTGAATTTGGTAGATATAAACAATGCTGATCTTTTAGAGAGGATAAGCCAAATCCCCACTTTTTTTGAAGAAATTTTTTAGGCTTGCAGCTCTTCTTGTTTATAAAACTGTTGGTAAGTAGAGTATTTGGGAAGCATTCTTGAGTTGCCTTTTATCCAAAGTGTAATTAAACCGTTTATTTTTGCAATTTGTTTTTTGTTTGGAGGTAGGATATAGGCCATGTACCAGATTCAAGAAAGAACTAGAGAGTTTGTGACCAAAATTTTCCCTTTAAAGGATAGATTTCTAAGAGCTAGATTGTTTAATGTGTCTTTGAGTTTGTTAATAATGTCTGTTTATAAATTCTTTCTACATAGGCCGTTTGAATAAACCTTATAACCTAGAAGCATTATAGAGTTATCTTCTTCTATAATTTCAAATTAGTTAATGTTCGATAGATTCACTCTTCTAGCCAGTGTGGTTAAAGGGACTACTTTGGTTTTGTGTTTATTGACTTTTGCATTTGAGGCTTTTTCATATATGTTAAATAAATTCTGAACTTCTATCCAGTCTGAAAGAGAGCTGATTCCTATGATTAGGTCATTAGTATAGACCACTGTTTTAAAGAAGAGGTTGTTTACTGAAATTTTCCAGATCCTGTTATTTATCGATTGAATTAGTAGTTCAAAAGCCAAAACATATAATAAAGAAGAAAGGGGGTCTTCTTGTTGAACTTCTCTTTCAACTCTAAATAGTTCTGAGAGAGCCCTTCTCAAAGATATGAGCTATCTGATTTGTGAAGAGGTTTTCTATTAGATTTGTAAATTTTATGCAAAAGCCCATCTTTGAAAGAACCATTTGCAAGAATTTGTGATTAACTCGGTCAAAAGCTTTTTGTTGGTCTACTAAGAGTAGCCAGTGTTGCTTTGAAATTTCAGATTGGTTTCTCATAGTTGTAAGAACGTCAAGTGTGGCATCTGAGATTGATCTTTTTGTGATGAAAACTTGTTAATGTAATGGAATTAATATACTGCAGACTCTATTTAGTCTAGATACAATAATCTTCATGAAGATTTTGACATTACAGTTTACTAGAGAAATGGGTCTCCAGTTGTTTATATTGCTTAAGTCTGAGGATTTCTTCGGAATGAGAGTGATTAGATTTTTGTGTCAGAAATTTGATAAGTTTCTAGAGTTCAAGACCTGGTTAAAGATGATTTCTAGAATTGGAGTTATATGTTCCTCTGTTAATTTGTAGAATTCATATGTTAACCTATCAATGCTTGGGGATTTATTGTTTGGAAGATTTCTAATCGTAAATGTTATTTCCTCTTTTGAAATAGCTTGTATAAGTTCAGAGTTTTCTTGTTGTAAGATCGTAGAAAGTGTTTTCATGATTGAAGTGGCTGCTTCTGAGTCTATACCTCATCTTTGTAGATTTCAGTATATTTTTCTTTTATATATTGTAGTGTTTGATCTTCTTTATTTTGTATATTAGCTCCTGGGATTTCAATTTCTTTCAAAGCAAAGTTACTACTCCGGGTTTTGAAACGTGAGAAGAAGTATCTGGTAGATTTTTCTCCATGTTTAACCCAATTGGCTTTTAAGCGAATTAGCTATCTCTCTGCTAGTTGGGAGAGCTCCTCTTGTGTCTGTATATTAAGATTGTTTATTCTTGATTGTATAGTTGTTTGTTCAGGGTTTGTTGCTAAAGAGTCTTTAAGTTTGGTTATTTTTTTATTCAGAGTCATTATTTTACTTTCCGGAGCTTTGAGTTTTTTGAAGGCTCTTATAATTAATTGAATGCAAACTTTGTGCTAGTCCCAGTCTGATGCCGAGTTGACAGATTTAATTTCTTCGATGACTTCTTTTTCTAATAGTTTGTTTCTGAAAGAGTCTTTGTCAAATCTCCAACTAGATGCCTTTTTTGCTTCATTTTCTAGAATGAAAGTATATTTGACTAGTAGGTGATCTGAGTTTTTATAGAGAGTTTCAGTTTTCTTGATTAAAAAATCATAGTTCTTATCTATAAAAATATAGTCTAGACATGTAGCCATAGACTGGTTATTTCTTGTATTCTGGTAGAATGTAAGAAAAGGTTTTTTTTTCAAAAGAGATGCAGAGTCCAGGAAGTTGTTTAATAGTCTTTTAAGTTGTAGCCTTGAAGGGTCATTTTGTGTATTGGCTTGGCTTATTTTGTTTATAGTTGGGTCTAGATTTGTATTAAAATCTCCTGCAATAATGTTTATCTTGTCTTTGTCAAAAGGAGAAATCCAATTTTCAAAGAAAGCTATTCTGTCTTTCATGTTTGGTGGAGCATAGACATTTGTGATCTTGAAGAGATACTTTTTATATGAGATGTTAACTGTAATAACCCTTTCTTCATAGGAGGTTTGTGGATTCTGAAGTTTTAGATCTCTTCTGCCAGCCAGTATTGCAGTTTTGTCAGTCCAGATTGATTCAAATAGCCATTGTAGTTTTAGTAAATTGTGGGTATTTTGGTTACTAAGATTTGTTTCTTGAATTACAATTATATCCAGCTTATATGATTTGATTAACGTTAAAGTTTTTTGTTGTTTTCATGATCATTTAGCCCTTTTACGTTTAGTGTAGCTATAAAAATTTTTGGGCTTTCTGTCATAGAATAAAGATAAATTTGTTTATTGTGAGGTGGCTTTGCACCCACCTTTGCCTTTTTGATAAGAGGTAGATCCTATGATATCCTAATTCGATCTGCTTTTAGTGATTTTTCTATTATTTTTCTTCTTATTAGATACTGTAATAAAGCCTTCATCGTTTATATTAGGCAGAGTATTTTCTTTCTCACTTGTATCAGACTTTTGTAAAGTGAAGGTTCATGCTGGATTCTTCATTGTTAGCTTATTTCTTGGAGCTTTATTGAGCAAAAGTTGATTTTCTACCTCTTCTTGAATGTGGAAGGATTCTAGCTTGTCATCATTTTTATCATTCTTCTTAGTTACCTCTTCTGTATGCATCATCGTTATATCAAGATTAGCTAAATCTTTAGCATTCTCTTTGGGATTTTCTTCTAAGTTTAAAACATGAATATTTTTTTTTGGAAGTTTCTCTTGTACTTCAGTTATTGTTGGTTCTTCCTGCAAAGATAATACAGGGGTCTTTTGTAGTGGGCTGCTTATTGATCTCTCCTTTCTTGTTTTTCTAACTTTTTCTCTAAATTTATGATAATGATCTCGAAGTCTGAGTAATTCTTGGAGTTGTTTATATTCTCTTTTGATATGACCCTCTTGATCACAGAAAAAGCAAATTTTTGGAGCTAATTTCTATTTTGTAGTGACTTTATTGTCACCAACTTGAGTAAAATGTAGGATTTTACTTTCTAGATTTGGGTTATCTGTGTTTTCAAAAATGACGATCTATTGGTCTGTTAAATAAAGAATGCCTTCAATCAGAAGAGGTTTGATAGAGGAGATATCGCCTATGTCTTCAAAAGCCTCTTGAATAAGGTCAGAGATTTGGTTTTTGTCACCTAGTAGCACATTTTTAATTTTGACCGGTAAGAAGAATTTGTGAGCATCTGTTAGGATATAGCTATAGTAGGTTTTATCTAAAATTATCACTCCATTACTAGCATATTCTTTGAGTAGGGTTTGATTTGCAAAAATAATTTCTAAATGAGAGCAAGTGTCTTTTTTAAGATGTTGCTTAGCAGTAATGACTTTGTCTTTAATATTTTCAAAAAGTAAGAACATTATTTCATTAAAAGAACAATGAATTCTTGAAATATTGATAATCAGGGCATTATCGTTTTTGGATTTAATTTGTTCTCTTAGAGAAAATGTTGAAAAGGTAGATTGGCCTCCTTTTAGCTTTGGAAAGAAATTAGACTACTGTTTAAGTAGGGCTTTATCCCGAGTAGCTTCTTGTCTTAGTTCATTAGTTAGAACATGTACATATAGGTTTACAGGAGGTTCAGGACTTTTAGGTGGTATTTCCATGTGACTTGATGATGTGAAACTTTCTGGAACCTTTTCAGACACGTGTGTCGCTTTGTTGTTTTGTTTGCCCAATTCCGTTTTTTATAAAGACATGTTCAAATTTAGCCAAGGGTTATCTTGAGATACAATATTATTCCAACTTTCCTTGCTATTAGCAACTCATATTTCTTTGTATCTTTAGTGGTGTTTGTAAGCAAAATGCTTGAGTTTGGTTCAGGTTCTGTGTGTTGAAGACTGGAAAGATTTTTAACTATGCCTTCTTTGTTGAGAGAATCCATAATTTTGTATTTTTTATTTGGTTATTCTTGAAGTAAAGCTTTTTTGGCCTTTCTCTTTGCTGGAACAAGGGCTTTAGCCCTTGTTATTGTTAAACTGTTTAGGTTTTTATTTCTAGATATATTGGGTATTTTGTCCATTTAATATTTTACTCTCCCTGCCTTTTGTGTACAGGAGAGAGTTACCGTAGATCTAAAAAAAAAAAAAAAAAAAATTTAATATTTAATATATAAAAAAAAAAATTTAAATATTATTTTTGACCAATTACAATTGATTATATTATATTAGCCAATTAGAATTGAGTATTTATTTTAAAATTTGTTGCAGAGGTGTTGGTTTATGCTGTTCTATACTATAAAAAAATAAATTAATTGGTAATTTATTTAAAAATTATAGTTTTTTATAATAAAATCTAAAGTAAACCTCTAAAGATAAGAATATATATGTTGTAGCAGATTACATTTAGACACCATTTGGGCAGCTGAGTGAGTTTTTATTCTGAAATAGAAGGATGAAAAACATTTAGTTGTTGCAAGCTTTTTGTTTGATCACTATATATATCTAATATGCACTTATAGATGAATATAGGCAGGATTGCTAAAGTTTAAAAATAAAATATAATTTAAAGTATATTTAATATAAATTATATAATAAAAATAGAGACTTGTTATTGCCACCCCCCATTTTTGTTAATGCCACCCCAAAATTTAAAAAAGTGCACCGGAAGAGGTATTTTTACTAAGTAAATCCTTATTTTGATCTTAATAAAAGTTGTTCATCAGGCCTTTCCGGTTCTAATGGTAGTAAAATCATTAA